ACTGCATGTCTTCTTTTTTTTTTTTTTCTTTCTTTTCTTTTTTTTTTGTGTGTGGGTTTTCCTGGCCTGAGGCGCCAGCTGAAAGCCATGGCCAGCTGCAGGCCTCCCTTGTAATTATGGCTCCTCACAGTGACACAACAAGCTTTGAAGCCCATGGGGCAGGCGCAGCTGCACCCTGCAGCCCTGGGGTTTGCATGGCAGGCACGCGGCCAGGCTTGGTGTTAGGGCTGCTGGACCCCCGGGGGGCTGCAAGGGACCTCTCCCTCCCCAAAAGCATGTGATGTGCATGGCGTTTTGTCAGCAGTTAGCAACTCCCCATGATGTACCTGTTGATGAGCAAGAAGACAAAATAACAACAAAAAAACCCCTTTGTCTTTCTGGTCCTAACCTGGGAATTTGGTTAACTGGAAATTTTTTGCTTCCCAATCAAATTCAGACTCAAACTGGGCTCCCCTGAATGTGGGTGAGGCTTTCAGCAAGCGCAGCCCCCAGTTTTGAGCAGAAACATGAGTGTTCAGGTCTTCCACTGCAAAGGGGATTTTTCTGCCCTAAATAACCATAGTTTTATCACTGGCTAACCTGCGCATCATCGACCTGCATTTTCCAGCCCTGCCGTTCCCTCTCTGAGGGTTGTAGGGCTGAAGGCATTGGGTGGGATTTGTAATTCTCCTTGCCACTGTGGAAAGCAAAGCTGCATTTGGTGAGGAGTTGTTCCCCTGAGCTGCTGCAGCCCGGGTGCATGCAGGAGTGGCAAGGGGCCTTTGCTGATGAGTGCAAGAAAAATCTGGGAAAGAGGGAGCAGAGGTGCACTGGAGAGCTGGGCGGCTAAAATCCCAGCAGGAAATGATAAATATAAGGAAAGGAGAAAGGATCTCCCTGCAGAGGTGGGTGCAGGGGGGCAGCTGCAGCACCTACGTGCCCCCATCCCCTGCCGTCAGGCGCAGGGCAGGAGGGGTGGGCTCCGACCACTGGCTGTATCCTGCCACCAAGGTCCCCGCTGAGCTTTGGGGGGCCATGAGGGTATGGTTTTTGTATTTTTTTTGCCCCAGGCAGTTATTCTGCTTTGCCTGGGATGCGTACAGAGCTGCCAGATTTCAGCTGGGGAATACCTGATCTTGGAGAGCAGGGGGCTGGGCTGGCCCCTGCGTGGGTCTGTGTGGTTCGGGAGCACGAGAAACGAAGCAGACATGCATTTTGTAGTATCACTGTAGCAGAAATGGCTCTCAAAGGGGGGCTGGTGACACCTGTATCTGAGTCCCCTTTTCTTTCCCTGCCCTTCCCAAGGCCTGTTTCACCTCTGCAGGCAGCCTGGAGAGGGACTTGTTTGGATTTAGCCTTTTTTTGTCTAACGGCTATGCCCAAATGAGTGTAGAGCCGAGCCTTTGAGGTTGGTCTTTTTTGTCTTCTTGAAAAAACAGTGACAGAATTTCCCAAAAAGGGAGGTAGACACCCCCTGAGAACAGATTTCCCAATATTTATTTTAATTTAAACCCAGAGTGTTATTATACCCTCCGGCCTCCTGGCCATTCCTCTGAGGCCAGACCCTCAATTAAGCGGCGCAGTGCAAACCTCTCCGGGTTTGGCAGCGGTGCGGGGCACTATGTTTGTGCACCAAATCTGCCGGCGTTGAAGTTTGGGGGTTTTCTGGCACATGCCGGTGGGCTGGCGTCACTCTGGGCAGGGCGGCGACTGGCTTGGGGGGGGCAAAAATAGACCTTATATCCCGGTGGGGCAGCAGCAGGAGGAAATCTGGGCCGGCCGACTCCGCGGGTAGCCGTCAGTGCTGTGGCGGGGTAAGCTTGCTGCTGCTTTTCCCAGCCGGGTTGTGCATTGCCGTCTGCTTTTTGCGGGTGGATGGGAGGGCTCAGCTTGCTGGCAGGGCTGGATGCTGCTTTTAGCTCTTTCCTGGGTCTGTGGCTTCATGAAGCACTTGGGTGGAGGGCATGAGCATCCAGAGCCTCGCTGCATGGGCTGCATGGCCAGGGAAGCTAGCTTGTGGCCAGCTGTTTCCTGAGTTAAACGAAGATGGGAAAACTTCAAGTGCAGATAAATATCATAACAACTCCCCCCCAAACCTCAGCAGAGCTGATGGTGGGTTTAGCCAGAGGAAGGGTAGGAAAAAGGAAGGTTAGTGGACTTGACTGAGCCCAGGGGGATGCCGGGAGCATCCCTTCCTGGGGGGAGGCTGGCGCACTGCAGGAGGGGTCAGGCGTGCTCCTTGCTGGGGCCGGGATGGAGGAGGGCAGGCCGGGTTTTGGTGCTTAGGGGGTGCAGCTCAGACCTGCCCAGAGCCAAGCCTCCCCCTCGGATATGCCTATGGGGGGGTTCTTCGCATTGGTGCCTTGCCACTGCTATTTTTGTCAACGGCAGACTGTAGAAGCCGATTATATCCATTTATTTATTTGCTTATTTGTTTTTCCTCGGTTAAAACTAAACTCTCTGTGGTGTAATTCCCAGGGGTGTTGCTCCCTGGGCAGAGCCTGAGCAGGTTGCAGGGCTGCGGGAGGTAGCCGCAATGGGAAGCATTCCCAACGGCTGTTCCTGTCACATCTCCAGCGGGGGTTGGTTTTCCCCACTCACTCGCAGGCGATGGGGAAGCAGGAGTGAGCAGTCCTGCTTAGAGAAAGCAATGCGTGACCCCATCAAGAGGTAGCTGGAGGTCAGCCTTTCTTCTCCCCGCTCACCCATGTGGACACAAACACCTGTATGGTTTGGGGTAGTGACGGTGCTTTCTAGCTGAAAAGCAAGCCCTCGCTGTGTTTTGCTGGTAGAGAAAGAGCCATGAGGACTGCCCTGGTCTTCGCCTGTCTGGTGGGGATGGCGTGCGCCTTCTCGGTGAGTGCTGGGCAGT